AATATAATAATGTAGTGCTACAATTCATTTGTTATGTGTCACTATCTCATAGACCTCTCTATAAATATATAGATATCCTTATGTTATCAAATAAGAAAAAAATAACTATAACATACATAATATTATAACATGGAGGGAAATTCATCTAGAGGGAAAAAAACCATGCAAGAGAAAGATGAAGTGAAATACCGCGGCGTTCGTAGGCGGCCGTGGGGGAAATTCGCGGCGGAGATACGTGATCCAACCACCAGGCCCGGTTCCCGACAGTGGCTCGGGACGTTTGATACTGCTGAAGAGGCTGCTAGGGCTTATGATAAGGCAGCATTTAACCTAAGAGGACATCTTGCTACTCTAAATTTTCCTAATGAGTATTATAATCAACTTTCTTGTCCTCCTTTATATTATGGTAATAATAACTCAATTATTTGTTCATCAACAAATAATGTTACTTCAAATAATATTCCAAGAGGAAAAGGAATTATTAGTTCATCATCAACAACAAATTATAAAGGTAGGGAAATTATTGAACTTGAGTGTCTTGATAATAGTGTTCTTGAAGAACTCCTTGGTGTTGAAGATCCAAAAATTACAAAAAGAAAATAAGGTTAAGTATTGTAAACTTTATTAGTTATATCCTTCTTTGGTATTAATTAGAAGGAGATTTTATTTTTTTAATTTGAGTTGCATGTAATGTATTGTTTAATATGCAAAACTTTGTTTTTATTAATTAATCTCCTCTTGGAAAAGCTAATGAATAAGCTATATAGATTTAAGGGTGATCAAGTGATGAATACGTACCTACCAACAATATGGGTCGTGTGGTGCAGTGGTGGGACTGCTCCACTCTGAATCAGAGGTCTTGGATTTGAGTTCTGAGTTTGGAGAAAATCATATTGGGAGCGCCACCTTCAGAATGAATCCTGTAGTGTTCGATTCAGATTTAATTGAAGCTCCGATGCAGAAAAACTATATTGTATATATAAGATGCATTTTTTTCTTCTTGTTAATGTACTGTTAAATCTTGAGCACCATCAATAAAATTTCTAGTTATATATGGCTATCGAGAATTTGAGATGATTTATTTTCTTATTGTGATTTCTATACATTTCTTGATATTTGATAAGAATTGTTGTTATGGTATCGTTGTTGAGAAGGTGAAATGCTGAAATAGTAAGTTCGATTATATCGTCTATTGTTTACTTTAGACCTATTGAAGGAATAAACAATCTTTAATTTATTCCTCGAATAAGTCAAGAAAGTAATAGGATAAGATAAAAGATGGTATAATCAGATAATTACTTGAAAAAATAATTTTAAAATAGAGTTGAAAATTTATAATAATGAGATACATTTGTCAATTCATTTACCATAAACAGGTGAGTATCCCATCCCCCCACCCCCACCCCCCCGTACACACACACACCCAAAAAAATGTTGATTATGACCAAACAAAAATTGTTTCAAACACACCAATTTGAAGGGAGACTAGGTAGAAATCAAATTTTAAATATATCCCTTTTTTTAATAAAAATAAAATATATCCCAATTGATTTAATCTTATATACGATAATTTACTTCATGGATGAGACCTTTGGTTCGAATCTAGCTAAAATGGCATAGTTGTGCCGGAAAAAGAATAAAGAGAGCATTTAACTATTACATGTACACTCTATTAATTTGGCTAATTAGGAAGATAACTAAATTGATAGAGCTTCACTCTTTGAAATTAAATCATTGCGATTAAGGGTTGGATATTTAATTGCCAAAGCATAAAGGATAGTATTTTATATCTGAACTGGTGACTCACTTATTTTAAGTAATAGAAAGAAGATAAAAATCTGCAACTAAAAACAATTTTATCAAGAACATATAGGATGAGCATTTGGTCAAATTTAATGGGAAAAATGTCTGAAATATATCTAAACTTTGATCGAAATTGTTGTAACAATTTCAAACTTTGGCCAGGACCTATAACCCCTTGCACTATTTAATAGTGTATTTTAAAGATATATAGGTGTCCACGTGGATATCATACATATTGCATCATTATAAATAGTAACTTGTCCAGCTGGACGCTTATATATCTTTAAAATACACTATTAAATAGTGCAAGGGGTTATAGGTCCTGGCCAAAGTTTGAAATTGTTACAACAATTTCGATCAAAGTTTAGATATATTTCAGACATTTTTCCCATTAAATTTGACCAAATGCTCATCCTATATGTTCTTGATAAAATTGTTTTTAGTTGCAGATTTTTATCTTCTTTCTATTACTTAAAATAAGTGAGTCACCAGTTCAGATATAAAATACTATCCTTTATGCTTTGGCAATTGTATGATATCCACGTGGACACCTATATATCTTTAAAATACACTATTAAATAGTGCAGGGGTAGTAATAGGTCATGCCCAAAGATTGGAATTGTTACATCAATTTCGGTCAAAGTTAAGATATATTTCAAACCATTTTTTCCAAATTTAATATACATCATACATGTCCAATTTAAAATGCATTTCTTGTGCAAAATAAGGAAAATCAAACTGTTCCTTTTTCTAGTGAAATCACTGTGTTTTTAAGAGTGAATCACTTTATAATTATTCCCCTTTGACTCATTCAAATAAAGAATAAATAGAAAAAAGAATAAAGTTCAAAATGAACATATGATAATAAGGAGATGCCATTTCTTAGTAAAAAGGGATTATTGTCTGAAAATGTTCAAGATTAAAAGTAAGCAACTTGGGTACAGTTGTTCGGTACGAAGGAAAATATTTAATTTTCAGAAAACTTAAAAACGAAGAAAACAACTTTTCTAGTAAAAGTTAGAAAAATGAGTTTCACAAGCGACATATTCTATATTGATTATATCTTTCCTGCATCCATCCCTTTCAGCGGACGCTCATATCTCCATCCACAAACCCACCTTCTCAAATATTTCTCTATAGTTATAAGCAAATGTCGTTATAATAATATTTTTTACTTAAATATCGAGTATCTGATATTGATGATGATAACATTCGAAATTTCGAATATATGATTTTCTTTAATAAATTCTGAATCTTCTTTTAAGATTACGTGCATGGGGGAACATCTATGGTGACACCATGATAAGGTACCTATGCCAAAAATGAATTTCGAATGTTATCTAAGTACGACTAATTATATTAATCAATTAATTAAGGAACGATACAACGCTACCTTTAATATTTATCAATTAAGTTTGTGTTTTACTTCCCTAAATAAACATTGTGATTAGCTTTTTATATATTCTTTTTTTTTTTTTTGGTAATTTAAGATGTGTGTTCATGACGCATAAGAAATTACTCGAAAAATATTAATATTTAAAAAGATTACCCTTTATACTTATTTATGAAAAGAACATTGATAAAATTGAATACTCAGCAGGTATATATATACATTTTATACCTTCAGGATAAGCTTTTACTTTTTATATATAGGCATCAAAAATTCTTTGCCCATGGTTTGTTTCGTACCAAGGAAAATGATTTTCATAGAAAATATTTTTCTAAGAAATATTTTCTTGAAAAATAAATGGCTTTCTTAATTGACTTTTAGTGTTTGGTTAGTAAGTATTAGAAAATCACTTATTTTTCGACCCTGACTCGGATCCGACCCAAAACACGATATTGACCCATAATTGGGACTTGACTCCCGACACGAACACAAAACACAACTCCTTATTCTGATTTGAGACCCAACTCTCGATCCTAATCTGAGACTTGAGATCCAACCTTGATTTGGGACTCGAATCTTGATGTTGATCCCGACTCGGCACCTGACTTCCAACCTCAATTCAGGACTTGACTCCTGACCCTGACTGAGGACCCAAGAACCAACCCTGATTCGGGACCCTACTCCTAACCACGATCCAAAAGTCGGGATTAGGAGTCGTTTCCTAGGTTGAGGTTGTATCCCTGATCTCGAATTAGGTGGTGAGGTTGAAAGAGATTTAAAATTATTTTTTTCTAATTTTATGCGGAAAGTCATTATCCTTAAATTTGAGAAAATAAAATCCATTTGAAAAATATTTCTCAAAACATTTAAGAGAACATCGGAAAATATTTTCTTTCATGTAAAACACACAAAATGATAATTGATCATAATTAATCAACTCAAACTTAAATGAATTAAGTGTGTTATGATTTCATGGACTAATTGTCACCTCTACATCAAAGTGCACTAAAAATGTATCAGACAAATTGATTAAGAATTACATATATATGATCAAATGAAAACAAGATCATTAGAAAGCAAAATTAGTTTATAAGAGGCACAAATAATTTCTTATCGACTAAATAATAATCAAATCATTAAAGAACAAAAAATCAATTAACCAAAAATTAATAACGAATATTCTATTGATTTTGTTATCGATTTAATATATCTATAAATCATAAACTGACAAATCAAACCAATAATACACAAAACAGGACTTACATATAATGACGATAAGACTTTACAGTCTAATAGTACCAATAGGTATGAGTTCAATTCTCGCGGTCTCTTCAGTACTGGCTCCCAATGTAAATGAAAAAAAATAAACATAGACCTATATAGACGCCTATTAATGATCCCTTACATTAGTAGAAATTGTGTCCAAATATATGCAGCATGAATGTGACAGATATAAAAAAAAATTGGACATGGAGTCATGTACTCAATTTTATTAGGTGTCAGCACATAGTAGTCAACCTTATGAAGAAATAATCAAGGGCCACAAAACTTTTTATCAACTTGCATTTCTTTTTGTCAGTGGTATACCTGACAAAAAATATATGAAAAAACATATAGCTAAAAATTTGTTGAGAGAAATGACAATTAATATTTATGATCACAAAGACTTTAGTTTTTCTTTTGTTGACCTTTCAACATTTGCATTTAGAAAATATAGTAGTACATTGAGTTACAAGAATTGTAGCAACAAATTGGCTTTCTACCCGGTGTTCGGAGCCCACATTGGAGCTCCGATTAAATTCGGATCGCGCTCTGCAAGGCCCATTCGAGGGTAGCGCTCCCAACAGAATTTTCTCCATATATACCCAGGGTTCGAACCCGAGACCTCTGATTAAGGGTGAAGCACTCCCACCAATGCACCACAACCCATGTTGATTGTAGCAACAAATTGATTGCTACATTCAAACACAAAAAAAATGCATAGTGAAATTAAAATAGAGTATATGATAAATAGACCTAGAACATTATTTAAATTAGTGGACGGAGCTATAGCGGCTGAAGGGGATTCAGACCAAGTACATTATTCAAATTAGTGGACGGAGCTAGAGGGACAGAAGGGGGTTTAGACAAACCCCTTTTTCATAAAAAAAAAATCATAATGCATATATAAGATGAAAATATTTCTTTTTTTTTTAACGTGTATATATATGGTAGATGATGAACTTTTTTAGTGTAAAACTTCTTGCATTCCTCCGCCACATTTGAAATGATCTTTATTTCCTCTTGTTTGGCTCTTCATCACAATCAAGAAGTTCCTCCAACAACTTATCATCCAAGTATTCAAATTCAAGAACTTGCCTTGACGACGACGATGATGATGAAGCCATTGATGGTGAAGAATAAGAACCAGCACTATAAAAATGTGAAGAGCTAGTAGGTAAATTATACTCCTCAGGAAAATTAAGTATAGCCAAATGTCCCCTCATTGAATAAGCCGCCCTATCATAAGCTCTTGCTGCTTCTTCCGCAGTATTGAATGTCCCTAGCCAAACACGTGCCCCTTGTCGCGCTGAGTCACGTATCTCCGCTGCAAATTTCCCCCACGGGCGCCTCCGTACGCCTCGATATTTGATCTCTCCACCACCACCACCACCACCATTCGTTCTTCTTCCATTGCTAGGATCTTGTTCCATGTTTAATTTTATTTTCATGTCTTGTTAATGGACTATATATATATATATAAGGTGGCCAAGTGATTTGGCGCTTATAATAAAAGGGTACAAAATTTTGGTCTTTGGTTTTAAAAAATGGACGGTGGAGAATAAGCCGCGTGGAATATCCTAGGGTCTAAAAATGTTCCCACGTGGTGATAAAGAAACTTCTTTATATTTTTAGACCAAAATTTTGATGCAGTGTATCTGGAATGGTCAAACGATGGCTATTTGAAAAATAATTCAAGTCTTCTTTTTTCTTTTCATCAGCTTTTAATTTCTGCATGCATGTGTATTGACCTCCTTTTGGTATATAATATGTTTCAACTGATAAAAAGTTGTTGGATTTTAAATAAATAAAAGAGTTAATTATTATTAAAAAATATTGGTCAAACTTTATTATGAGGTAATTTTTTTAAGGTAATTAAGTGATTTTTTCTACTTTGATAAAAAGTGAAGAATTAAGTGACTAGCTATTACATGATTAGGAAGTGTTTAAGTACGATAAAGTGATTGAGAAACGTGATATGTGTCATTACGCATAAATAGTTAGTGTGACACGTGTCGCATGCATGAAAGTAGATGTGTATGTTGACATGTGTCACACTTATATTGCGTTTGCATTATGCTTATGTGATCATTCTCCATATATAAATAGTTCATTATATTATGGCTTCATCTCGCATCAAGAGAATAGTATCTTAGTTAAATACATCTATTTTATTGGTAATTGAAGTATAAAATAGTCTTAAAAAATAGGCCATCTCTCAACTGCAATTCACAGTTATTCCCATAAAAAAACATGAGAAAGAGCTCAATACAAAAGGAAAAATCAAATTATATTAAAGTTAAATTACCTCCGCTGAAAATAATTCAAAAGCGCTATACATTCAGGTATGTTTCTTGATTAAAGTAATATTAATTATATGAAGTTTTGCAAAATTTATCAAGTTACATAATTCTAAAATTATGTAGAGTTTTCAATTAGATTGTTTAAATTTCACCATATATAATCGAGAAAATCACAACACCTTTTCTATTTTAGATGAAATTAATAACACATAAAATTTGAAAAAGAAAAGAAAAACTAAAATGATTTTAAGTATGTGGTTTTATAGTGTCCATTGAGTTGATGTGAGGTCACTTGCTTATGCACTTGGCTCTACGGATAACGAAATAATAAAAACTAGTCTTTTCCCATACAGTAAAATTATTTTGTAGGGTATACATTCATTAAATTATTAATAATGCAAAATATTAATTATGAGGTAGAATTTTTAATTTCTACTCGTTGAGTGTTGGATTTTAAATTTTAAGACAGGAGAATATTTAAAATAAAGATTTAAATTACATATAAATATTTTAATGTGCACATTTTCATCGTATTGATATGTTCTGAAGAATTGTAATCTACCATATTTTTTTGCACAATTTTGGAACAATTAATTTAATTTAATGTAGCTCTAAAGATTAATCAGATTGAATATCAGAAAAAGAATTTTAAAAAATACATATTTTTGGGCACCATTTAATATTTATAAAAGGTCCCTAAGGGATCAAATATTTAGATTATATTCTCTTCTCTCTTTTTTTGGGTGATTAGAAAACTTATCTTAGATAAATTATATTAGAGATTAGTGGAGTATATAGGGTGATTTAATTAAACGTACTAATTATTCCTACAATTTATTTTAGCTCTTTACATTGAATTGATCATCTAATCTAATCTTATAATATCTTGGCTAATCTTGTTTCATTGTATAAACATTATGTGCTTTTTTGGGGTCAACCTGCCCATCAATAACATTTTGGGGTTATATTGAAAAAGGTACGTAAACGTGTTATAAGAATAATTTGGGGTCAACCTGCCCATCAATAATATTTTGGGGTTATATTGAAAAAAGTTAATTATAAATTAAATTAAATTAAACGTGTTAGAACATTATTTTGGGGTCATCTTGTGTCACGACCTAGACCGTCGTGATTGGCACCCACACTAACCCTTTGGTTGGAGAACCACCACTACAACCCACACCAAGCAAATAAACCAAAAACTAAGCATTTAAGTTACGGAAGCAAGTTAAATAGATAAAGACTGAAGTTCCCATAAACTTCCAAAAGATCTAACAACTAAACAATGCGGAAAATACACCTAGAACTTGAAAGTCAATGTACCAAAACATCTAAAGTTCAACAAGTCTAAACAAGAAGGGATACAACCCCAAACTAATGAACTAATAACTAACTAGAAAATTTAAGTCCGAAATGTGGACATGGACAGAAAGAGAACTCATGGCAGCCCGGAAGAACTGGCTCACCCTTGAATTCGAACGATCACTAATCTCCTAAGCGAGGTCTGTCAG